GCTAAAACTGCCTTTTGGCTTATGCAACAGTCATGCTACTTTTCAACGCCTGATGGAAGAATGCCTAGGAGAACTAAATATGAAGATTTATGTGATCTTCTTAATCATTTTTAGCAACTTATTTGAACAGCATCTCCAAAGACTTAACATTTTATCAAGATTACAAGAATGTGGAATGAAGTTATCACCAGAGTTAAGGTCCTTTCACTTTGAAAATAATATGAAATTTTCATTTTCCGGTTATTATCTCCTCTAGGGTATTACACATTCAACTCTTATTTGACATATTGATACGTCAAAGAAATGCGCAGGTCAAGATTGAATTTTGTCATGGTTCGATGTTTTTGGCAGATTTATGCCCCTTTAATTTTGAAAAAAAGAAAAAAAGAAATTTTCAGTTCCAATTCGTTATCTTCCCGACAGGTGTACATATTCATCTCAAATTAAAGAGATATGGATATGTCATAATAATGCCTTGGTCAATTTCAAATTTGGTCATGGTCTGATGATAGCTGACAGAGTTATCCCTCTTGAACTTTGAAAGAAAAATCAGAAAGTTTCCGTTCATTATCTCCCCAATGGTTGTACACATTCAACTTAAATTTGACATATAGATGCATCTTAGGAATATGCAGTTCAAGTTTGAATCTGCTCGTGGTTCAATGATTTTGGAGAAAGTTACCTTTCTTGAATGATTGAGTAATTTTGAATTTGCAGTTTCAGCACTCATACATTTGTGGAAATGTATGTAGCCATTATTTTGGCTACAAATATGCAATATGCAATTTACAAAAGGTTAACACTGAAAAGTTTCAGTGCCATGCACTTTGTATAAAAATGGTTTGTGTTAACATTGAATAGTTTTAAAGGCTTTGAACTTCAAATGAAAAAAATAATTTGTGCAAACAAATTTGAAACTAAATATTATAACATTTGAAATTTTGGCTGCATCCGTTGCGTGACGACACATTTCTAGTTTTCATTATCTTGAAAGCCATTTTGTTACAAAGTCTTCATATTTCACATATAGATTGGACAAGTGTAGTAGATGACCCCTGTTGACTTTTGATCACTAGTTAAAAGGTCAAAGTCTTTGAGACCTTAAATTTCAGACTGGTTTTCGCTGATTTTCTTTAAAAAACTATATTTTACATACTAATTGGTCAAAACTAGAAGATGACCTATTTTGATTTTTGGGTAACTTAGTCAAAGGTTAAGGTCACAGGTGCCTGAAATATCAGAATGTTTTCCGGTCATTATCTTGAAAACTTTATTACAAATTCTTCTCATTTCACATATTGATTGTCCATATGTAGTAGATGATCCCTATTGATTTTGGGGTCACTTGTTCAAATGTAAAGGTCATGGGGCCTAAAATGTTAAAATGTGTTTCGCTCATTACCTTGAAAATTTTTTATCACAAAGTCTCCATATTTTACATATTGATAAGTCATAATGGGGTCACTAGTTCAAAGGTCAAGGTCTTTATATTTCACATATTGATTGGTTATAACTAGTAGGTCATAATTGTTCCTTTTTTCCAAAACTGAGCACTTCCATGTACCAATTGATGGCAGGTTTCTACAACAAAATTACCAATAGTATGAGTCAAGGGCTAGAATGTGGTTCATACGTGTTGTTCGACATTTCTTGTCTTAAACTCATGTCTATTGTTTTAACTAGAAATGAAATGACCCTCCCCCCCCCCCCCCCCCCCCCCCCCCCCCCCCCCCCCCCGAAAAAAAAAAGAAATTGTTACGATCCGATAACGAATTATTAATTAAAATTGTCAACAAAGGCTTTCAGAAAAAACAACTGAGTAATGAACTTGGCTACTTCTTTAATTCAATTGATACTGAAAACCCCTGAACCTACCAGAGCTGGAACAATCCCTGGTGCAGGAATGGAGGAACATTCCACAGAGATTTCTGAGGAATTATGTAATGTCAATGAGACAGAGGTGTATGAAAGTTATACAGGCTCAGGTAGGACATATTGGATATAAAGTGATTAATATTATGTTTTACTTATTCTGTGATAAGAGCTGTGTTAAAACAGTTGTGTTTTGAATTTTGAGATTAATTCTCTGTGACTCATGTTTTATTTCTGTCAAATTTAATACTTTTTCATACATTGACTACAATAATTTTGTTACGATACATGTGCCAGGTGTTCATTTATCTATACTCTTAATGTCACCAATAACCATTCTTTAATCACCCAAATACACTTAAAAGCACACGTGTTGCGTTAGAAAAGTCTTTCAGTGTATACTTTCCACTACTACCTTTTGTTTACAATTGCGAAAAAACATACTATCACATCTCAAAATCCGGCAGAATGTTCTCAGTAGATATATGTTTATATACATAAAATGTTTTCTAATATATATTGTGACATCGTATATCAAACATGAATTTGCCTTAAATTATATCCACAGTGACACAATCCAATATTTATTTAGGCTTTCATGTTACAAAAATCTTCGCTTCATATAAGTTTTCTTACCTAAGGTATCATATTTTAAGTGTAGTGAATATTTTTTAAATTGCGGTAACGTTCGTTTCGGTAACGTACATTTCTGACCACTTTTCAATTAAGATCTGGACACAGTCTTGAGCAATTATATAACAATTTCTCAACACAAAACTTCTAATTGAAGGAAGCTTTAACTGCTTGACACAAGTCTACCTCTTTACATTTTCATCAGTTCCTGTAGCATCAGTAACGTACGTTTCGCGGCAAAAATTACGTTTTCATTTTCTCAGAAAATAATCCATCAATTACGGCATCTTTATACACCACTTTTAAAATACACTATTTTAACCAATATGGCCAATTACTTGCCAGAAAACTTCAAACTTAAAAATATTTTTATTTTTTAAGTATTTTCTTCACTGTATAAAAACACACTCCAAATGTCCACATGTATCAGTGGACAGGAGGAAACAACAATTTTGTTTACATTTTTATCATAGTTTTCGGTACGTTCCACTGTTAAATTCACGCTAAGGCATTGTGAGATATAAAAACACCAACCAATTGTTTTATAAAAGACCAATTGAAACATGAAAGGATTTAATGTCTATTTTTCTTACAGAGACAGTCACGAATGTTTCATTTTTTACTATTGTGCGATAAATATTTCTTCAAATCATGACATTTGACCACTTTTTTGTTTTGATTTAATACAACGGAACATGTTTCATGGAACAGATGCTTTATTTAAATAAAACATATAGCACATAATAAGACGAATATGCTGCGTGGAAAGCGTTTCTATCTATTCTGTAAATGATATTGAGAATGCGTGAATGGTAAAAGTCAAACAAGTCTTTTCTTCAGTAAAGCCAAGAGGACAGGTAAAGGTATCGTTCGACATTAAACAGCAAATTAAACATATTATTATATTAAGGGAAATCATAAAGATTTTGAAAATCTTTACATTATCTTAAATTGTGACATTTTATGATTCCTGAATATCTAATTACCAGTTTCGCAATTTTTCCTAACGATATCAAGGGTGGTGATGGAGAGAATCACGCCGTTCGTTACCCAAACAAACAAGATGGCGGATGCAGCCGAAAAGTAAGTTTTTCTACTAAATGGGCCTTGGACAGTGACCTTCTAACATGATCCATAAGGCACGTTTCAAGTTTAATGTGAACATGTTTAGTATTTCCAAAAATAATGTTGCAAGTTAAACTTTAATCAGGGATTTTCTAAGTTTAAACAATCATATTTATCTCGTGCAAACAACTTAATTAATTCGTGGTCACGACACTAAGTAACTCGTAGCCACTGTGCCACGTACAAATCACATTGTATCACTCAAACTATCTTTAAATGGATGTATACAAAGATGCTAGGATACACTGAATATTTATCTGAAATATTTTGTGCTAGTTATTACATTACAGTTGCCTCTATTTAGGTGAAAATTGACTCCGCCTTTTATTCTTCGTCTATTTCCGTGATAATGCCATATATGAAAGTTTCAAAATCGTTTACCGATGTTAATCGCGTTAGAGTGTTGTGTTGTCAACCTGAGAGTGTCAACTGGTGTGTACAAGGATTTCACACGAAGTTCCATGGCACTTACCTAAAACATCTATATAGGTAATCTACATTCTCAATTCTCAATGTCATAATGCACGGTATCAAAAGTGTTGTGTTCATTCATTCTATCGTTTACATAAATTTGAAGTTATACCTTTCTAAATACAGTTGTTATACATTTATAAATACAGTTTGCAATTTATCTAAGTTGCATGTATCGTAAAAGCAAGTATCGTTGCTATACTTTAGTGGAACCGAAGTATGAAGCTTCCATTTTGTCAAATCGAGATAATCCCAGTGCAGTATGTATCTCTCGAATCCACAATTAGATTTTTACTAATCTGTTTGGTTGAACCGAACTATTAATTGTTGCAGAGGCCGGACATTTTGCAACGAATAGCCTCCATATTTTAAAAGGCTTTTATACAGACAACGTGACTTATAAATAGAAGTCTTACTACATTTACGTACACTTTACATTCTATGTTTAAACTATTAGAGCGGTACAGGAAATATCAATTATAATAATCTATCTAAATAGAAAGAATTCACAAGTTAAACAAATTTGAAAATATCATGTGTTCATCATCAAAAAATACTTTATATAACTTAGCAAAATTCATTTTTTCTGCAAATAAAATTCGCATTGTTTAAGGTATCATATTTTGATAATATTGTATTGAACTTCTTCTCTTTGTATGTTTGTTAAGCTCTTGTTAATTGTTTACCTCATGTCTTATCCATTGAACATGTATATATGTTTATGTTGTTTATATGCTATAAACATTGTATAATGTTTCAGGCAATAAAATTTGAAATTGAAAAAAAAAAAGTTTTACAATTCAGGTTCAGTTTGTACTCGTTATACTGGTACATTTTCAGAAAATTGCTTTATCTTTTTAAACACGCTATGAATTCTAAAAATATCAGTTTAAAAGTCATGTAGACCTAATTTGAACTTGTTATCAGAAAATTGGGATTGTATTTTATTGATTCGTCAAAACTTAACATTTACTTTGACGTGTTCATTTTAATTTCTTAAAACGTATTAGATAAAATGGAGGACAGTGAAATTAAATGCGAAATAACGCCGTTTTCTCAATCTGGAGAGTGCACAGATGAAATAGAGTTTGTATTTGATGACGAGAAAAGATTATATGTTTCACAAAACTTTCTGAAGTATGTGTCCCCAGTGTTTAAAGCAATGTTCGAGCACGATTTTAAGGAAAAGGAAAATAAAAGCGTGACCATGACAGGGAAAAAGTACGCAGATGTTTTAGAATTCTTACTTTGTTTACATCCAAACGTGCAAAAGTCTGTTACTAGTAAGTAACCTTTTATGTTATGTCAAAAGAAACTATTAAGAAATTGTTTTAAGCAATTACAAAAATTGGAATTATAAATATAAATTAAAATTCAATATGAGGTTTAAAGTGACATCATTTGTTTTCATTGTCAAGTTGAGTTAAAATTATTATATATTTCAAACGATTGACTATAAGAATGGTCACCGCCTCCGTGGTCGAGGGGTTTGAGTCGATGACTTCTAATCCAGTTACCTCTCTGGCGTGGGTTCGATCCCCGGGAGATGCTTTGGTAGTTAAGCGCGGAGGAAGGTACTCTAGTACTGGTGTAACTCTCCAGGAACGATGGTTAGGAAACTACCCGCCTATATGACTGAAATAATGTTGGGAAAAGGCGTTAAATGAAACAAACAAACAAACAAACAAAATAATTGGCAAAACATTAATAGTGACTTTCATTTAGGATTAAATATTAGAAGTGCCTAAAAGGTAAAAAGTCTGCACAAATAACTTTACGAACTGAACGTTACGGATTCATTCCGAAAGATTGTTATAGATAATTACGCAGGTCATGGAAGTTATTGATAAGTCAGGTGACATATATCATAAATTTGAAAACATGGATGGGCACTTTAACAAAGACACTATTTTATGTATGTATAAAAATGGGTTAAATGCAAATTCTGTTGTTGTTTTTTTATAAGAAAGCACTGAATTAGAAACTTGAAGGATATTGATTCATTCTGTCATCCAAAATTTAGATTGACATTTTGAAAGGGGTGAATTTAGCCCGTTTAGTGTCTTTCCGGGTACCGTTGTTTCAGGGTATGGAGGACCTGTGTTCCGTGTTGTTTCTCTCCATTGTTATTGTTAAGTTTAATATCTTAAATGGTTCGTACCGCGCTTAATTCGAATCAAGATGATTAGAATATTGTTTAACAAACCTTATCCCATAGAATGGATCTTCCAGATGTTTAGTATCGGGAATATCGAAATGAAACATTTTAGTTTATAAGTAAGCTTCATAGCAAAGGCTGTAGAAATCTGTTAAATCATTCAAAGTGCTACTTTTTTAAGCAACATTAACTTATAAGTGCTTATACGCATTACTTAGTTACAGAAAAGTATCTAGTACACAAATTGTAAGAACAGTGTAGACCTTTTAAAAATATTACTTTATAATTTTGATGATATTCATAATTATCCTATCATTATTATCTATAAACATATAACTTTTTCGTTCTTTTTGCAGAAGACGTAGTAGATTAACATTTTGAAATGGGCGGATTAAGCCCGTTCAGTATGTTTTTCTCTGGGTACCGTCGTTTCAGGGTATTTAGTACCTGCGTTCGGTGTTGCTTTTCTCCATTGCAATTGCTAAGTTTAATATTTCAAATATTTTGCGCTGCTTAATTTGCGTAAAAACGATTAAAATATTGTATACTTAATCCTTATACCATAGAATCGTTAAAATAGAATTTCCATATCTTTAATTTCGGGAATATCGAAATGAAGATTCTTAGTTTATGAGTAAGCTTTATAGCAAAGGCTGTAGAAAGCTTTTAACGAATTCAGTGTTACTATTTAAGCAACATTAACTTAGATATTAAACAACATTCTAAGTTCTGATACGCATTCTTCAGTTACAGAAAATTATTAAGTACACATATTGTAAGAAAATAAAAAGAGTAGATATTTTTAAGATATTACTATTGTTGTAGTTTTAGCAAGGCACCTGGTTAAGGTTTGATTCAATGATTGAGTTTTTATGAGAATTGAGACCTCAATTGTTGTCATTATTTATTACTATAAATCTGTTGGGGCTAGACTGTGCATCAGTCTGTGAGATTTTAGTGTGGTAACTCTGTCAACAGGTACCTTCATAAATTAATGGACAGGGGGCCTGCAATTGTTGTGTTTATGGAACTCAATCATTGGTTACCATCATAAATATTCCAGGAATCAGTCTGTTTGTTTCTGGTATAGAAGGCTTAAATTTGTCAATTAACACTAAGGTAACCTCCAAATATGGAGAGTCAATGTATTTCATATAAATACTGGGACAAGATTTTCTAGGGGCAGTCTAGATTGAAGATTGAAGAACAAGATTCAAAATGCAAGAGTAAGATTGTAAGAGCTAGAGAAGATTCAGGATTCTAGATGAAAGTTTCAAGAATGAGATCTTAACAGTTAGATATAAAATTCTCAGTGACTTATCAACCATGTGTGAGGAAAAAAAACTCTGTACTTTTAAATATTAATTGTAGATTAGAAATTTAGGACATTTCCAAATAAATAAATGGTGAAATGAAACTGAAAACAGTTATTGTTTATTTTATGCAAATATGTGAAATTATGGAAGTAGTAGAAATTATAAATTACGAGAGAGAAGAATTTATAACACTATATAATGTTGATGATTCCCATAATTATCATAATTATAATATCATATCATATCCTCTTTATTGAAACATATAACTTTTTCGTTCTGTTTGCAGAAGACAATGTTCTTTCAGTCGTGCACATAGCAGAGGAATACCAAGCCAAATTAATGATTACACGTTGCCAGAGTGTCATGTCTGATTGGCTCAAGTCAGAATTGGCCTTGGCCCAAAAAACACAATCGCTTGAGGATAGAAGTAGACGGGCAAGAACTTGTCTGAGAGTGATGTCTGAAGCAAACAGTCTACAATACAAGACACTTGTTAATGAAGCATGTACAGTAATTGCACACTTCGGACATAGTATATTTACTGGAACAGTACAACTTCAAAGTTACTTTGGTCGTAAACCTCCTGATGATAAACCAGTTAAGGATTGTAAAAAACTATTTGACAACTTATCCATTGAATTAAAATATCAATTAATACATAAAAGATTGGAATTGCATGATGATGTAGAAATGCATTGAGCAAAAAAGAAGTGATGTGCAGTAAAGCATTGCATATTTCTGTTGAATATAATAGAGCCGTTCTCCAGAAAATCTTGCAATTTTGACCAAAATATCGAATTTTATGTTTTAAGCAATTATTGAAGTAACATAAAAAATTGAAATTATCTCAAAAGGAACCTGAGATAGATCTACAGCCTTTTGCAATTAGATACTGTTATGTACATAGCCGTGTTGAAATAAATAATTCAATATATCTCATATAAAACTAATAAGCACAAGTACAACTAGGTATAGATGCAGTTTGTCATAATTTATATTCATTATATTTTTAACAGAGTTCATTGGATATTTAATAAACAATCATTGTAACAGGAGTCAGATTATGTCTTTCCTATCCGTTGGCATGGTAACATGTGTGTCCTAATTAAAACTTGTCTAAGGCTCTCCTGAACATGTTTCATCTTGACAAACAGGTCGCACTTAAGGCCGAACTGTGCTGTATAGATATCTAGCAGCAGACATTCAGCAGACATTCCACCTGGTTGTAGTACATTTGGCAAGTGTCCCTGTTCAAACTGTAAGTTGTTGGATTTTATGATGGAGAACGTCTTCTAGGCTTTATCGCAGCTCTCTTTAACAACTACTATTCCAGGATGATCTCTGCTCATACGAAAATATTGATACTTTCTGAAAGGGGTAAAATATACATGTTAATGTCATTATGAAAATATGTATTATAATGATAACTTAAGAAGCACTTTAAGGATTAAATTTGTTAAATCAAAATGATGAAATGTTACACTTTACATGTAAAGGCAACTGTTAGATACTACCTCTGAACAGAAACCATATGTCCCAAAGACCACATGTTTTGTTTCCAATTTTCACATTTACAGTGTATTTAACCTGTAAATAAAGACCACATATTGGCCTTTTACTGAATGATCTTAATATATAGGTTTGACTGTAATGTATACACTACATAGATAAGGTTCGAGTAGATTTTACAATATGTCTTTACTTAAGCTGACAATAAAGCAAAACTGTACTTTTTACTCTTCAATTACCTGATGCTTTGGAGCGGTTTGAAGTACGTTTTCAGAAATCCTTTCCAGTCTCGCCATGTCCATGTAGGGTAACGGATACACTGGCTTGCAGATGACGATTGGTTTACAACTTCCGTTAGGTGGACAAGAGCATCCATGTCTGTCCTGCGGTAAAGTTATTTTATTCGGGCAAAGCCAGCATCAACATGGTATCGAGCGTGTCCAGGTATCTGCATCATATATTCTATTTCTCTTGACGTCCAGACAGAACACGCCAAATCAGATATCCCAGCATATAGTAGTTTTTATTATGTCCTGAAATAGAAATTAAAACAGTAAACATTAAGATAATCGCTGTCCCATGTTGAGTTTAATAAAATTTGGTAATTAAATCTGGCCTACTGTTAAAATGCAAATTCATATTAAAATCACCAATACATATTATTATTATGATACTGAATATCGGTTGTTGAGGTCGCCGACTTTTATTATATTATTAACCCTTCGTCAGCTGGGGAAAATGTTTAACAACCTTTAAAAACTTTTTGAATCAGATGATAGGTAATTTAATCAGGTTCCAAGGCGCTTGTCACTGATAATGTTCCTTACAACTGGATAAACTTAGCAGACGAGATTTTCAGCAGATGACAATTTCTCATTTCTCATTTGTGTTTCAGGATAATTTATGCTAATTGAATTTAAGAACAAAGTTTGTAATATAATATCGGTTGTATTTTTTTGATAACTAATTGACTATTGTAGTACCCATACAATATATGATGATGTAGATATATGTATCATGTTACATATAGCCACTCTGTATCAGCCTCTTAAATACCAAGTAGTGTACGATAGTCGCTCGTAGTGAATAAACGTATAAAACATACATTGTGTTACTTACTCGGTACTCGGCCCCCAGGAACATATAACAGATATAACAATGGCGACGAGAATAATTGAAATTAAATAAATAACAGTGAAGATTGAAATTTGGATTAGTTCTTAAACATTTAGCAAAATCCGTGTAGAACACTTGTTTGCAAAAATGACTTGATTAATACCATTCCCACCATTCACGAATAAAGAAAATCCAAGCAATGTCGGTATAAGATGGGGTATCTACGTCGAAAAATTTGAAAATTTAATAAATGGACTCGGAATTGACAAAAACAAAAGAAAGAAAGCTTTATTATTACACTACGCAGGTGACGAAGTAGTTGAAATTTACAAAACTTTTCCAACATTATCCAATGCTGATAACAACTATGATGACACGAAGAAAGAACTTTCGGATTATTTTCAACCACAAAAGAATACAGAATTTCTGCGTTTTGAATTTGGAAACGTGACACAACAAGACAAAAGTAAAGATGAATATGTTACATAATTACGTCAAAAAGCTAGAGATTTTGAATTTGCAGACCCCGATTCACAGATCAAGACTCAATATATAAAATGTTTGAATTCAAATAAATTAAAAACAAGATGCCTAGAAGGAGGAAGCCCCTAAAAGATCTTATAACAATGTGTCGCACAGCACAAATTGCTTCACAACAAGCAACGGTCATGGAAGGAAAAGCCGCTGGTGAGGTTCTGTCAAATGAACAAAATCGAGGTCGTCGACACCGACGTCTCCCAAACGACGTGATTCTCAGAGAAAATGTACACGCTGTGGTGGAAACTTCCCACATCAGGACTCTTGTCCCGCCTTTGGTAAAGGGTGTTATGCTTGCGGAAAGAAAAATCATTTATAATCCGTGTGCAGGGCAATAAGATCGGGAAATGTACGATCTTTCAAAGAAAATGAATTTGAGGAGATATCCGAAGAGGAGATATCCGAAGAGGAGATATCCGAAGAGGAGATATCCGAGGACGCATTATTTGGATTAAAACTGAATTCCATAGAGCTGAAATGCCAAGTCAAGGAAAAACCGCCCGTGAAAATAAATATTAATAAAAAAATCATGGATATTACCGTCGACACAGGAAGTACTTTAAACACATTATAATAAACTAAATCCACACCCAAAGATGGAAAAATCAAAAGTAAAAGTATACACCTATGGACAGACAAAGCCAATCAATTTTTATGCTTCCCGAAAAATTTCGGGGAAGCATATAGTCGTCGGGTTGTCCGTCCGTCAGTCCGTCCGTACGTACGACCCGAATTCGGTTTCCGATCAATAACTAAAGAACGCTTAAGTCTAGGAACTTCAAACTTGGTATGGTGATTGGTCATGACCAGCAGATGACATCTATTGATTTGGGGTCAAGGGGTCAAAGGTCAAGGTCACATTGACCTTTTAGGTAAAAACGGTTTCCGATCAATAACTTAAGTACGCTTAGGCCTAGGAACTTCAAACTTGGTATGGTGATTGTTCATGACCAGCAGATGACACCTATTGATTTGGAGGTCAAGGGGTCAAAGGTCAAGGTCTCATTGACCTGTAAGGTAAAAACGGTTTCCAATCGATAACTAAATAACGATTAGGCCTAGGAACTTCAAAGTTAGTATGGTGATTGGTCATGACCAGCAGATCACCCCTATTGATTTTGGGGTCAAGGGGTCAAAGGTCAATGTCACATTGACCTTGTAGGTAAAAACGGTTTCTGATCAATCACTAAAGAACGCTTAGGCATAGGAACTTCAAACTTGGTATGGTGAATGGTCATTGGAGCATATAGTCATCCGGTTGTCCGTCCGTCAGTCCTTCTGTCCCTCAGTCCGTCCGTATGTACGTCCCGAATTTGTGTCCGGCCCATAACTTTGTTATTTGAAGTCGGATTTTAAACTTATTTCACAGAAATGATCAAAATATTAAGACAACGTGTCGCGCGCAACATTTGGGTCGCTATCTTGAAGGTCAAGGTCACAGCATGACCTTGCAGCAAAATCATGTCGGGCCCATAACTTCGTTACTTGAAATCAGATTTAACAACTATTTCACAGAGATAATCACCATATTGTATCGACGTGTTGCGTGCAACATTTGGGTCGCTACCTTGAAGGTCAAGGTCACAGCATGACCTTGCAGGAAATCATTTCCGGCCCATAACATCGTTATTTGAAGTCAGATTTTACAACTATTTCACAGAAATGATTACCATATTAAGACAATGTGTCGTGCACAATATTTTGGTTTTTTTTCAGTTTCAACTTTGTCTTTGACATAACTCTGACACTACAAGAGGTATACCTTCCTGTGTCCAAAACCTATTCGGGGAGCATCACCCGGTTCAACCGGCTCTTGTTTCGGAAAGTGTGTTTGTGAAATTGCAAGTAAAAACAGAATAACAATCGCAGAATTTTACATAGTACACAATGGTGAATCATTATTGTCTTACCAGACTGCAGTTGAGAATTAAATATTCTGTCGAAAATAAAACAAATACACACCTCAGCGCAGGACATTGTTGACAAATATTCCGACCGTTTTAAAGGTGACGGAAACTAAAAAGACAAAGAAATTAAGCTTCATATTAATAATGATGTAAACCCTGTTGCCGAAACACACCGCCGGATTCCGTTCCACATGAGGAAAAATGTGAAAGACGAAATTGAACGTCTAGAACGAGAGGGCATCATTAAAAAATCTACTGGTCCTTCCCATGGGTAAGCCCAATCGTATGCGCTCCAAATGAAAATAAGAAAATTAGACTGTGTGTTGACATGCGTGAACCTAATAAAGCAATCGTAAGAGAGAGAGAGAGTGAGACACGTGACACCTACAATTGATGAAATCCTCGCAAAAATGAACAATTCGAAATATTTCAGTAAGCTGGACTTGACTCAAGCATTTCACCAAATTACACTTGCTGAAGAGTCAATGTATATCACTACGTTCTCTACGCATATTGGATAATGGCGATATAAAAAATTAAACTATGGTGTATCAGCAGCACAACGAAATACGCCAAGCATTAAACGGATTACAAAACGCGATAAACATCGCAGATGACTTTATTTTGTTTGCCGAAGATGAAGAAAATCACGATAAGTTTCTTGAAGCTTTGTTCCAGAGACTTAGAGAGAAAAATCTGACTCTGAACAGAAAGAAATGTATGTTCAAAGTGAACAAGATTAAGTTCTATGGATACATATTCTCTGATCAAGGAATATCACCAGATCCAGAAAAGGTTGAAGCTATCCAGAAAGCTGCAAGCCCAACAAACGTAGCAGAATTACGGAGTTTTCTTGGTATGACAAATTTCGTGTCAAGATTTATCCACGACTATTCCACATTGACCGAGTCGTTACGAAAACTAACTCAGAAAGGAATTAAATGGCGATGGACAGAAAATGAAGAAAGTACTTTCGTAAAACTGAA